ACATGACGAGAAAACAAAACTAGTTTGATTCACTATTCCTGCACCTCACTCATATATCATCTTTCTCCTCGGATTGAAGCCATTATCAATTTCAGTGGAATCAAAGATGAATTTTAGTTATTCTAAAAAAAAAAAAAAATATGTCAAATTGTGTTTTTCCAAAAGGAGCTGAGCTGAGGCCCAGTTCGTTCCTGAAAACAGATGATGAGTAGTAACTGTACTTGTTTATCACAGAGCAACTTCGACTGGACTAAAAAGTATTGGAGTTTGAACACAAATGTTTGGTGGAAACAACACAAGATAATATTTTGAGATATTTTTGTCCCCCGCCTCGAAGAAAGCAGAGGACTATTAAAATGGGTTCTTCCGTCTGTCTGTCCGTCACACTTTTTGGAACACAATAACTCTTCTTCTAATTGAGGAAGAATGTTCAAACTTGGTGTAGGTGTTTATTATGTCAATGCCTGGATGGAGTTCGAAGATGAGCATTTTCTGCTTAGGGTAAGCGTAGATAAACAATTTGATTGGTTGATGCTTTGGGACACGATAACTTTAGTTCTAATTAAATGAGAGTGATGAAACTTTGTGTATAGTTTCATTACATCAATACCTTGACTAAGTTCGATAATGAGCATTTTCTGCTCAGGGTAAGCAGAGCGATAAGCAATTTGATTGGTTGAGACTTTGGAACACAATAACTCTCCTTCTAATTGAGGTAGGATGTTTTAACTTGGTGTAGGCGTTCATTACGTCAATGCCTCGATGGAGTTCGAAGATGAGCATTTTCTGCTAAGGCTAAGCAATTTGATTGGTTGATGCTTTGGGACATAATAACTTTAGTTCTAATTTAGTGAGAGTGAGGACACTTGTGTATAGTTTTATCACATCAGTACCTTGACTAAGTTCGATAATGAGCACTTTCTGCTCAGGGTAAGCAGAGCTATCAGCAATTTGATTGGCCAAGACTTTGGAACACAGTAACTCTCCTTCTAATTGAGGTAGAATGTTCAAACTTGGTGTAGTTGTTCAATAGGTGAATGAATGCCTTGATCTAGTTCGATGATAAACATTGTCTGCTTACGGTAAGCAGAGATAAGCAATCTGATTGGCTGATGCTTTGGGGCTTTTGTTATAATTAAGTGAGAGTGATGAAACTCCCAAGTATAGATTCATTATATCGTTACCTTGACTAAGTTCGATGATGAGAATTTTCTGCTTAGGCTAAGGAGCGATAAGCAATTTGATTGGTCAAGACTTTGGAATATAACAACTCTGCCTTTAATTGAGGTAGAATGTAAAAATTGATGTTCATTAGGTGAATGTCTTGTGAGTTCAATGATTAACATTTCGAGCTGAAGCTAAGCAGAGCTAAGCAATGTCATTGGTCAATGCTTTAGGACAAGATTACTTTGATTCTATCTGATAGAGAGTGATGAAACTTAGTGTATAGTTGATAATCAGTTTGGTTGCTTGATACTTTTGAAAAAAATAAATGTGTGATAAATCAAAATGTGTCATCTATTTATTTTGGGATTTCGGTGGGGGACACCAGCCTCACTGTTGGCTTGTTAATATTTAAATTAGTAAAACAAAGAAGCCTATTGAATGTCAGGAATTTCCTTTAATAACTGTTAAAGAGACATGGCCCTTGGGAAAACTCTATCGACAACAGTTATGATCTGATCTGTATGAAATTTATATGCATTATTTACTATTTAGATCAGTAAAAGGATTCGACGAATAAGCCCATTGAATTTTAACAATTTCCGTTAATTACTTCTAGTCTAGAGTTATGGCCCTTGTTGAACCATAGGAACATTCTATCAAGAACTGTTATGATCCAATCTGCATGAAATTTATGTACCAGTATGTAAAACGGATAAGCCTATTGAATTTAAACAATTTCCGTTTATGACCCTTGTTTAACTTTGTTAAACCATGTGAACGCTCTAACAACTAAAGTTATCATCAAATCTGTATGAAATTTATGAGAAATATTTAGATTAGAAAAACAAAGAAGCCTATTCAATTTTTACAGTCATGGCCCTTATTATATGCCCACATTTTAATGTGGACATACATTGTCGTCGCCCTTGTCGTCCACAATTTGTTTGTAAAATGTAATGAGAGAAATGTAAAATGTAGACACGTCAAAAAAAGCATTTTCCCACAAAACATTTGTCATTTAACACTTAACATTTGACGTTTTACATTTAACTCTTGCCTTAGAGGTATTTTGACTTTATCAATATCGGTATTAGGACTTTGTACATTGTACTTTTTACATATAATCAAAGGAAACGACATTGTCGCAGAGCATTTAATATTGGCAGCGATACCCTTTCATATTTGAACACTTCAAAAAATCTTGTGGACGCTCTAGAGGCCAAAGTTAATATCCGATTGACTTTAAATTTATAAACAGTGTTTAAGGTCATGAGACGAAGAAGCCTATTGATTTTCAATGAATTTTTATAACTTGAAAAGCTAAATCCATCATATTAAATGTTTTGTATACTAAACGTTAGCATGGGCCAAACAAATTTTAATGATTTTCTGATAATTACTTAATGAGCTTTTACGCTTAATTAGATTTTAGTGTATTATAAATGTTTCATTACCGACAAAATTTAAAACATGTGACAGCTCTTGTTGGCTGCTCGAACGATTTAGCTGCTGTGAGCGTATGTTTCGTTGCCTGGCAACCTATCTTCTGTGTTGCCCACAGTAGATAACCAGAACGAGGTGAATGACCATAGTGGAATAAATGTGACCTGTCACAGTGATGTTTTTATTTTACTTTTTTTTATTCGTGTTGATTGAGATGAATGAAAAGTGAGAGGGCTGGGAATTGGAAGGGAAGTGATACACAAATTTCTTCACCTCATTGAATTTTGTATATCATGAATAGTCTTAATGGCTAATATCATTAATATGCGGCTAAAGGTAGGCATGTTTTTTTTTTTATTTTGGCTAAAAAAATATCGAAAGTACAATTTGGCCACCGATCGCCAAGTCTACTCTGTACTCGGCATAGACAGATACTCATAAAGACGTAAGAAATTACAAGTATATTTACTTTTTGAGTAATTTTGTTCAAGAATTTTATATATAGTATTCGGATAGCAAACAAAAGTATTCGGATACCAAATCTCAATCCAATTTTCAACACTAACCCACAAAAACATTATCAACTGCTCCAACGATTTAGACGTTGTGGTGGTATGTTTGGTTGCCTAGCAACCTATCCTTTAGCTGTTAGCCTACTCAAGGCCAATAAGCTAACTACTGTCTACCAAGAACCCTAACTGACATTTATTCTGTCACCAGTAACTTCCTGGTTAAAACACAGATCCTATTTCGTTTCGTTTCTTATAGTTCAAAAATTTGTTTTACTTGTCTTTACTACACTAGGATATGAAAGAGTTGTTATGTAACCCGCGTTCTTGTTGATGTGAAGAATTAACCAATGAAATGATCTGTTGCAGTGAGTTCTTGGTGTGCGATGCACAGAACTGTGGGGATCCCACTAGAAATATTGACGCTGATTGGTTAATCAAATGTATCTTGTACATCCGGACATATATTGTTGTTGCCCCTGTCTGTCTGGAACAATCTCATTAAAACAGAGATCCTGTTTCGTTCCGGTTTTATAGTTTAAAGTTTTGTTTTACTTGTCTTTACTACACTAGGATCTAGAAGAGTTGTTATATAACACCAGTGAAATGTTGTGTTGCGGCTAGTTCTTAGCGTGCTGTATACATAATTTCAGTTTATTATGTTTAGAGTTATGCCCCTTGTTGCACTTTGTTTTTTGTTTTTATAAACAATATTTATTCAGAAACTGAGGGGATTGGAGAACAGGCAAAGCCTATATAAACCCCTCTCCCTTGTTGAACCTTGTGAACACTTTAACGCCAAAAGTTGTCATCCGATCTTTATGAAATTTATATGCCTCATTTAGATTAATGAAACCACGAAGCCTATTGAATTTCAGCAATTTACAATAATTACTTCTAGAGTTATGGCCCTTGTTTCACTTTGTTCAACCTTGTTAATGCTCTATTGACGAAAGTTATCATCCGATATGTATGAAATTTATATGCATCATTTAAATTTGTGAAACAGAGATCTATTGAATTTCAGTCAATTATTTCTAGAGTTATGACCCATATTTTACTTTGTGAAACTTGTGAACGTTCGAATGACAAAAGTTATCATCCTATCTGTATGAAATTTATATGCATTATTTAAATTAGTAAAACGAAAAAGCCTGTCAAATTTCAACATTTTCTATAAATTACCTCCCGAGTTAAGACCCTTGTTTCAGTTTGTAGTACCTTGTGAACCCTCAAATGACAAAAATTATAATCTGGTCTGTATGAAACTGTCTTGTAAATGTCCCAAATTACCTACAACAGAATAAATATGCGACACCCTTGTCGACCACTCGCACATCATTTGACTAGTTTGTCTGTCCTATGTCCACAATTAGTGATGTCATACATTTATATGCTTTAAATTTGTGTACTGTACATTGTTTGGATTAGGAAGATGAACTAGCTTTAGTGTGGAATTTCAACAATTTCCATGATTATAAAGTTATTGTGCTTGCTCACTTTATGTAGAATGCTGTAAACACTATAATTTGAAATTGATATGCTTTATTTCAATTTAACAACTTTAAAATTACAACAATTTCAATCTATTACTGGAGTTTTTTACCTTTATGACTGTATGTTGTAGAATCTTGTCAGTGCTGTGCGTTACTGTAAGTGATGTTTTTCAGTAGAAAAATTTTGCTTTTTATTTACCTAAAGAATTACACTGCAGCAATCTTTATGGACAGTTCAGACAGCTTAGCTGCTGTTTCATAAATCTTGTAATGGAAATATACAGGAATCTTGCTGGTGTGGGTGTATTAGGAGGCCAGACGAATTCCTTTCTATTATATTTGATTATAAATTGTGTAAACTTACTGCAGTGCCTTTTTTTCACAGGGGTACAAACCGTACAATTGCACAAGTGAAAATGGATTCATCACTTGTATCACATGATTCATGTAGTAATAACATCATCCTTGATGAAGGTTCGACTGTAGCATCATGGAAAGATAGAAGTCCTCATTTCTTCCGCTCTACAAATTTATTCACAACTTCATCACACACTGAGGAATTTGAGTATAGTGGAACTGGTCATGGATCCGTCATGCTCATGTCTGGTAAGGTTTATTTAACTAATTTGCGGTAAGACAGTTAGCTGTGTGAAATTCTCAACTAAATGAGAAATGATGATTTCAGAACAGTAGGGAAATATGGAAGTATAACATTGCCAAAAATCTGAAGATAGACAACATTTCAAAATACTAATTATAATGTCATGCTGTAAAAATGCAAAGTAAACTTTTCAAACTACAATTATTATGCTTGAATGAGACAACTTTGAATTAAAGATACATTATGGTAGATAAGATAAAGAGATGGCAGTTCTCGCTATAATAGTTAAAAACTAGATAGTGTAAAGGTAATTTGCTGAAAATTTCAGTCAAATTGATCCACTATGAGCCGAGAAAGAAGCCAGTGAAATTTTTGCATAGTCTCGGTTATCATTACTAAAATCATTATTATAAACAGCATAGTCTCGATTATCCACTTTTTCTGATTTAATTATCTTTGGCCGTTAGCAGCATATAGGAATCTAATCCAGCCTACATCGAAGGCTAGCCTTGACATCGAGAGTTTATTATGGTCTGGATAAGTTAATTAATGTCTAATTGATAATTTAGATAACATTTCGGGCCTAAAGAAAGACTTGTAGATTTTGCTCTTGCATAATGCATGTTTAAGTTACTTTACACATTACATTTTAGTCATGCAGCCAAAAACGAGTTTAGCCTTGTCATGGAAATATAGTCCACCTAATTTTTATACGCCCGCATGGAAATGTGGTCATGTATTGCCGTCGCCCCTGTCCATCCGTCTGTCTGTCGGTCCGTCCATCGTCCACAATTTCTTGTGAACTCTACAGACTACATTTATCATCTGATTGTTTTGAAATTGATATATGTTGTTTGCATTAGTGATATGAAAAAGCCTTTTTAATTTCAATAACTTCCATTAATTTCTTCTTGAGTTATGGCCCTTGTTTCACTTTGTTGTACCTTGTGAACGCTCTAACGGCAATAGTTATCATCCGATCTGTTTGAAATTGATATCCAGCATTTAGATTACTGCAACGAAGAAGCCTATTGAATTTCAGCAATTTCCGTTAATTACGCTGTGAGTTATGGCCCTTGTTTCACTTTGTTGTACCTTGTGAATGCTCTAACGACAAAAGTTATTATCCGATCTGTATGAAATTTATATGTATTGTTTAAATTAGTAGAGTTATGGCCCTTGTTTAACTTTGTTGAATCTTGAGAACGCTTGAACAACAAAAGTTATCACCTAATCTGTATGAAATTCACATGCATCATTTGAATTAGTAAAATGAAGAAGCCTATTGAATGTCAGCAATTTCCGTCAATTACTTTAGAGTTATGGCCCTTGTTTTACTTTGTTAAACCGTGTGAAAGTTCGAACGACAAAAGTTATCCAATCTGTATGAAATTTATATGCATTATTTGAATTAGTAAAACGAAAAAGTCTGTTGAATTTCAACAATTTCTGCAGATTACTTCCAGAGTTATCACCTACAAAAGAATAATTATGCGACAACCCTTGTCGACTGCTCGGGCGATTTAGCTGCTGTGGGCGTGTTTTGTTGCCTGGCAACCTATCTTTTTTTGATGGATTATATCTTTTAATATGTGTAGATTCAGAATCCAGATGATGCCACCCTGGCATACTTGGGGAAATTTAAATATTCAAGATGGCTGCCATGAGGTAGTTTCTGGTTATTTAGTTTGGTAAAATTTGTGACAAATTCTCTCGGGCCTGGGTTTGGGGTGTTTTGTATTAGATTACCTGCTGAATCCAAACAGCCTGGGTAACCCTCGGAAAAGTGATGGCTAAATCTGCTAGGGGTCCAAATTAAAAAATCGGGGCTCATTTTGGAAGGAATATAATAATGTGCCTTTACAGTGTGTAATTTATTGAAATATTGGTTTCAGGGTCAACTACTTCAGATATAAACATAAAAATATGTTCAAACCAGAAGGTATTCTAATATGAGCTCATTTTCAAAATGGTTGCCATGTTTGATGGGATGTTTCGATGTTAGTAATGTGATGGTGTAATAATACATCAAACTATAGTTTTTATACGCCCACATTTTCATGTGGCCGTATTATGCCGTCGCCCCTGTCCGTCCGTCCGGACGTCGTCCACAATTGTTTGTGGACTCTCTACAGGTCACAATTCTTATCCGATTTTGACGAAACTTTAAATATAGGTTTATCCCCAAAAGATCTCGGCTGCTTTCGATATTGGCATGTATTGGATCGAAACTTCATGGATTATGGCCCCTGATTGTACGAAAAATCACGTTTTTAGCTTGTGGACCCTATAGAGGTCACAATTTTTATCCGATTTTGTTGAAACTTGAAATGTTAGTTTATAACCCAAAGGTCTCGGTTCCTATCGATATTCGCGCATATCGGACCGTAACTTCCTGAATTATGGTCCCTGATTGTACGAAAAATCACGTTTTTAGCTTGTGGACCCATAGAGGTCATAATTTTTATCTGATTTAAAAAAAAACGTATTTTTATATCACCTTTACACCCTAAGGACGGCTGAGCTCGAATTTCGTGAAAATCGGCCCAATATTGACAGACAAAATGGCCGCCGTTCGTTCTCAAATAGCGTAAAAATATGGTATATCAAGGCTGTTGACCCTATAGAGGTCACAATTTTAATCCAATTTTGTTGAAGATTAAAATGTAAGTTTATAACACAAAGATCTTGGTTCCTTTCGATATTTGCGCATATCGGACTGTAACTTCCTGAATTATTGGCCCTGATTGTGCGAAAAATCGCGTTTTTAGCTTGTGGACCCTATACATGTAGAGGTCATAATTTTTATCCGATTTAAAAAAACGTCTTATTATATCACCGTTACACCCTAAGGACGGCTGAGTTCGAAATCGGCCCAAAACTGACAAACAAAATGGCCGCCCTTAGTTCTCAAATAGCGTAAAAATATGGTATTTCAAGGCTGTGGACCCTATAGAGGTCACAATTTTAATCCAATTTTGTTGAAACTTGAAATGTAAGTTTATAACACAAAGATCTCAGTTCCTTTCGATATTTGCGCATATCGAATTGTAATTTCCTGAATTATGGCCCTTGATTGTAGGAAAAATCACTTTCTTTTTAGCTTGTTCTCTATCCATCTCTCGAAAATGTGGGCATATCCTGCCTGGCAGCCGCTGGTTTCTGTATGACAGAAACTTACTACCATCATTGTATTGTTGCTCAGGGCCCTATTTCACAAAAACTTAAACTAAAATCACTAAAATAGATTTTAACTAAAATCAAAATGAAATTTTATGCGTTTCACGAAGATCGATTATAACTTAAAATGCAATGCACAATTCCGGCAAGGGCACTTAGGGTGTAAGCATAAACACTTCGGAACTGAAAACTGTTACCAGGTTGCCAGGAGTGTTTCATACGTTGTAACAATGTCTGCACATGGTCAGATAGTCGTATAGAAATGAAATAAATAAGTTTATTGAGTATTATTCGTCTTGAAATGTATCAGTTGGTTGACCTTGAACTTGCATGTCGCTTCGTGACCTTGGCATTTGATTTACTTGCAGGCTTCAATGGAAATAATGCGTATCGATAAACTAAATTGCTTGAATTTCGTAATTTTATGGTATTTTGGATAACAGAAACTATTGAGAATTGTCACAAACATGTGATACTTCTGACTCAAAGGATTAATCTAGACTAAAGTATTGTCCAATTTTAAAAGTATTTAACAACTTAAATAGATTTGAAATGTCAGTCCCACGGACCCTTTCAATAATACTTTGAAAATGCCAAAGTGCCACACACCTTATTAGATAATGCCTATCTATCTTACTAAATTCAAATGATTTTTTCCCAATATAAAATACCCTTGTCATCATAACCCCAAAACCATAAATATTGCATATGGCGTATCTAGTATTATAGGACTGACAGGGTTTCGATTTTCCCGGTTGTACGTGACAGGGAGTAGGGTCGCCTGTCCTACCTGGTGGCCGGTGGGTTTCTTCCCACTACTAAAGACCCCTACGCGCAAGCGAATTATTCAAATACAATTGATCATGTGTTAGTCCCGAAATGATCTAGTTTGTGTCTAGTGGACGTTAAACCCCATCTCTCTCTCTCTCTCTCTCATTTTAAACAATTGTAGGCCTACAAAGATATTTTTTTATAATTATTTGCAACTAGTATAATTTATACTTGAATCATATGGTAATATATAAAATAGTAACAAAGAGCTTTGTTTACTGGGGTTTTTGTTCTTAGGGTTTTAATTTGAGTCATTTAATTGCTTATATTGCCTTACAATAAAATAAACGGGTGGGCCGCAGCTATATTTCCCGTGCAATGAAAAGAAATTTAATGAAAATTATTTTAGTATGTTTAAATTATATAACCCGGGCCATTGGCAATTTTATCATTATTCCAAATATGTCACAATAGATCTCACAACGTAACTCTAATCAATGTTTGTTAATGTCATGATATTAAGTTAGGGGAGGGCGACAGCTGTCCTAAGTTAAAATTGATTTTAGTTAAAATTGTCCCTAAAATAGTTTTGTGAAACGCCACTATTTTAAGTTAAGATACAATTTTAACTTACAATATTATTTTAGTGGATTTTATCTAAAATGCTTAAAATCTTTTTGTGAAACGCATCTATCTTAAGTTAGGATTGAATTTTAGTTTAAGACGATTTTAAGGAGATTTAAGTTTTTGTGAAACAGGGCACAGAATTACTGAGATAACCCTTGTTCAAGGGAGGTAAATCACATGTTGAACTGGGTTATTTCACTATTTATTAGTTACTGATCAAAGTTTCATGATAAATTTTTCAGGTGATGCTGTTGTATTAAGGTGTTCTATTAAATTGAAAAAGGAATTTGGTAAAGGATATATCAAAAATATAAATGAAGGTGTTGAGATAATTGTAAATAATAAAAGCCAAACTATCAAATGGTCTACAGTTAATCAAACACTTGGATTACATATCTGTTTTGATATACGCTTTGGAAATATGGTTTTTGATATAGGAACAGGTAAATAAAAATGCACAAACTCAAAACTACATATATGTGTTAAAGGATGTGTCACAGATATATTTTAATGAATAAAAATGGTTAATTCCATGTAAAGATTATTAGATACCTTTATCATATCATCCAGGATGTAGATAATTAGATACTGTATCAAGTTGAATGAAAATAATTTTGTTCTTTTTATTTCTTATCATTGAATCAATGGATGAAATTCACAGAATAACCGCAAAGTTATTTTTTCTGACTATTATCTACATCCTTGGCATTCTTAAGCTTAAAGAAATAAAACATTCAGTTTTATGTAGGATTGTTGATATTTCCAAACACACACTTGTAGTCTAGATAATCTTATAGATAAGCTTAATCTGGTTGATTATGTACAATTTCTCCAAATGCTTTCTTTACTTAAAGGGCACATAAGATGGACAAGGAAACTTTTCGGTAGCCAATGGTTACTATATGCACTTTACGGCAAGTTAACATCAATTTGATTAAAATTAATTGAGCTATCTTCACTTAAAGTTGCAAATATAGACTTGCCGTAAAAACGACTTTGCCAGTTATCAAAAACACTCTTAATCCCCTCAGATGCCTGTGACGTCACAGTGACCGAATGCATATTCGGAATGTTTATTCCTTAATTACCTACATACAGCCGGTGTGTTATTCATTAACGCCTGACTGATTCCTTAATCCCCTAGTTTAATAAAACAACTGACTACGGAATAATTTGTTTTGTAATTTATTTTAATTTAAGATCCAATTTAGATTTTGTTTTACATGTATAATGTCCGACCATCTCTTCTCACAACAGTGATTTTGAAACTGTGTTTTAAAGTGACTTTTTGATAGAGTCCCTCTACCATCGAGTGCAGTCCAAATGATTCATTTCCGCCAGAAGAGTATTGTTGTTCTAATTTCCTCGAGTAAAACAGTACAGGAGTAAAAAGATGAAGTTATGCAAAATGTATCATAAAAGTCAAACATGATTGAAATGTGATTTGTAAATGATGATGTACGGCGCCTTTCTTTCTGCGTGTGGATTTGACTTCATTACTCTGAAATAGACCGTAAAAATGAAATATGGAAAAAAAGCTCAATATACGTTGGAATTAACAGTACAAATAAATTTTGTTAACCATCTAAATCGAATAACAGATTGAGAAGGGTCATCCAACTATCTTTGTGTATTAATAATAAAGTGTAGTGTCGTTAATATCTGTCATTAATCAATCCGACTAAAACTGCACAGACATGGGGTCATAGATTAATTTATATCTCGATGTGGGATCAAGAATGCTGATTAGGTAATTATCTTTTTTACGCCGGCCAGATCAAAGACATTTAGGTGGAACGTGTGCGTAATACCCCACGAACGAACAAACGATAAAAGTTACGGGGGAACTCTTCAACAAACATACATCGTTTAACTGCTTTATAAAAAAGGTATTTTACAATTACATTGACAGTTTAATCACTCACCAAACGGCATCAGGAACTCCACGTATGATAACGTGTATTTGATATTCATGTCCATGAATCCCATGCAATTTTCGTGCCAAAGTTTAATCTCAGTTACTATGCCCGTAGTATGCATGGAACCGTACATGGAAATAAGATTCCCGGCGTTGATTGGCTGAGAAATGAGGGCGATCTATTGTTATGCATAGTCATCGGAAAATTCCATATTCGCTGTGAATTTCAATAAATTACGTTAAAAGTTGTTCTTTGTGTATAGAAATGGTTATTATATTATATTTAGCTAATAATGAATATATCGGCAAATGACTGGCATCATTTGTATTTCTGTACTTACAGAGAATAGTTTGGGATATTTATTGCTGCATCCTTATTGGCTTTTGGTCCTTTAATCAAAAACATCATTTGTGGTATATTTCATTTTATTTCAGCACCTGTCAACTCTTTTATACCACTTGATGAAATGGGAAATGTGAATGGCACCAAGCTTAAGCTCTACAATGAAAATCCTGGTGCTTATGTTGCGTATGAAATGCCTTTGAAAGAAAAAGAAATAAGACAAATTGATGTTTTGGGTAATCCAAAGGCCAATTGGTGGACTGTCGGCATATTTTTATCAAATTCTGGTTTAACATCAATGCCAAATACGAGGAACTTATTTATGGTAAAAAAATTTGATAAAAAGTGTCAGGGAGCAATTAGCATATGGTTGACATCTGATGGAAAGATTCATTGTTATTTTCAAGATCAGTGCTGTACTAAAGAGATTGATAATCCTATACACCTGTCTCAAGAAATATTTTTATGGATTGAACTCTTTAGATGTAAGATAAGTGTTAAATCACTGCCTTTATATGACGGTGGTAAGTATATATGTTGTGACTGAGTCATTCCATGTCAACTGAACCAATGGTGGAAACCCGACCCCCTCCGAAAAAATTATATGTTATAGTTTATGGCCTTAAACTACCAAATCCGAAATTGAAATTAGGGTGTTGGAACGGACCATAAATTCAGCAGTTTAAGAATTAAGCATCACACTGAATGTGCGATTCACACATTTTAGAACACATTAAGTAATTGAGCTAGAATGTTCAAACTTGGTGTTGGTGTTTATAACCGGTAGGTGAATACCTTGATGGGGTTCGAAGATGAGCATTTTCTGCTTGGGGTAAGCAGAGATAAGCAATTTGACTGATTGATGCTTTGAGCCACGATAACTAGTTCTAATTAAGTAAGAGAGATGAAACTTGGTGTCTAGTTTCATTACATCAATATCTTGACTAAGTTTGATAATGAGCATTTTCGGCTCAGGGTCAGCAGAGCCATAAGCAATTTGATTGGTTGAGACTTTGGAGCTCGACAACTTTGATTCTAATTGAGTGATAGTGGTTGAACTTCGTGTATAGTTTCATTACATCAATACCTTAACAAGGTTCGATGGTGGGCATTTTCTGCTTAGGCAAAGTAGAGACTTCAGTCTGATTGGTCGAGACTATGGAACACAATAACTCTCCTTCTAATTGAGGTAAAATGTTGAAACTTGGTGTAGGTGTCTATTAGGTGAATGCCTTGACATAGTTCGGTAATAATAATAATCTATTTATAAAGCGCTGAATATCCAACAAACTGGTTGCTCAAGAGCGTTATCATGCACATTTTCCACTAAGGCTAATCAGAGATAAGCAATTTGATTGGTTGGGACTTTGGAACACAATAACTTTGGTTCTAATTGGGTGAAAACGATGAAACTCTGAGAATAGATTCATTATATCAAGTAGGCTAAGTAGCGATAAGCAATCTGATTGGTCAAGACTATGGAACGTAACAACTCAACTTTTGATTGAGATATAGATGTCTTGACTGAGTTCAGTGATTAATTTTTCCTGCTAAAGCTAAGCAAAGCTAAGCAATTTCATTTGTCGATGCTTTGGGACACGTTAACTTTGATTCTAACTGATGGAGAGTGATGAAACCTGACTGAGTTTGATCGTGAGCATTTTATGCTTAGACTAAGCATAGATAATCAGTTTGATTTGAAAAAGATAAATGTGTCATCTGTTTATTTTGGGATTTCTGCGGGGGTCATAAGCCACACTGTGGGCTTGTTGATCTGATACTGATTTAGATTTCAACAAAGTATCAAGTATGTCAACAATTTTAATAATAGGCGATAACAGCCTATAAAACTCCATCAATTTCCAGTGCCAGTTAAAGATATAAGCCATCAAATACACAAGATGGGGTTTAATGTGTGTTATAGCAGGGTAAATGGCCAAAATGGAAGGATAAAATGGGTAAATTTTGCATAATTTTAGTGTGAAATGAATTTCGAGGCTGAATATTTTGGAAAGTATATATCCCATTGACTCAAAATCTTTTGTAAATTGATAACAGACCAACTGACTTTGACTATACCAATTCTGGAGGTTTTGCATTGAGTGACTTTGCCAGGATGCCGAAATCCTGAAAAATAAGTAAATAGTTAATTAGTTCCACATTTTGCCACATGGTGGCGAAAAAGTATGAATCGCATATTGAGTGTGAAGCTAAATTTGTAATCTATACCAAATGTTGTTTTAGAATACAAAGTTAGATACTTCTAATCATATTAGAAATGTTATTTTAAAACAGGTGAAACTAAAGAAAATTACTGAATTTATGGTCCGTTTCAACACCCTAATTTCAAATGGCTATATCTCAGCGGTTTTTGACCTAGAGAGGTAAAATTTCGGATTTGTTAGTTTAACGTCACTATAACATATATCTTTTATAATTTTTTTTGAAGGTGTTTGTCAGGTTCCTAACTTTCTGAAATTTGGTATACTTGACATGGAATGACCCAACTGTATTGTCTTCACCTATGTCTATCCTTATGTCTATCTTCTGAACAGTCTCCACAGCATTTACTGAACGAAACTGTCTCGGCAATTGCCAGCTATCCTGGGGGCAACTGCAGAGATCTTAAAGTTTTTTTTTTTTTTCAGATTTGTTCATATGGCCATATAAGAGTAATCATGTTTATATTCCATATATGCCCTTCGGGCATCTCGGATTTATATTGCATATTTCTCATTGTTCTTTCAAACCATGCATAATCGCTCAAACTTTAAAGGCTAAAAAATAGCTCACCGAATCGGCGTGTATAAACACGTGACCACGCTCTATATAAATGATCACAACACTTTCAGTATTGTCTTTTTCTCTTTTGATCTAGACCGTGCACATTCGTGTGTTCGTGATAACGCTGTTATCATGTTCTTAAATTTTCTTTCCATTGTGTTCAATGTGTGTTGATCATTTATGTTTTATCATGGACCTGTATTTTTAGGTCCATTTATATTATCTACCTTCGTTTTCATCGACAGGTATAAGGTAGAATCGCTGATTCACCGGGGTTTTTTTTGTTTGTTTTTAGTCGCGGTCATCACGAAGTGTTGACTTTAAATTTCACTCTTTATATGGAGGAAAGCGATTTTTAGGGATTCTGCGAGGCAGATCTTTTAAATGATCATAATGTAACTGCAAACTTGCTAGATTTAAATGTCGTAATTATTATACGGCTTTTTTGACAAGAGATTATAATATATTCCCCATGAGTGGGACAATCGAGAATAAACCGGATGTTTACAACAGCAGTCCGATGATGTAGGTATACTTCCGATTCCGAACTCGATAATAACATTTTTAGCATACCCATAGGTAAAAACGAGCGTAATAACGGAAATTTACCGCTAAAAGGTCTGTAAAGGCCTTTAAATCTCATAAACGAGAATTGAACGCCAATAATATAGTTGGTTTGTAACTTTATCCAATTCAATTGTGTTGAGTTGACAGAATTTGATTGATATATGATCATGTTCATAATGAAAAAAAAAAAAAAATTAATGATGATCGTAATGTTAACATTATATTACCGGTACTGATTATTAACATAATATTAAAAATAATAAAGAGGGTTACCCTTATATTAGTAGTAATAATAAGTATATAAGTAGATCAAATAAAAAGGTTGTTATTAATAAGCCTGCAACAAATAATGTCGTTACGGCCCCTGCTATAGTATAGGCTTGAATCATAGTGAAAGTAATATTAATTTGCATTATTACCGGTACTGATTATTAACATAATATTAACAATAATGAGGGTTACCCTTATACTATTAGTAATAATAAGTATATAAGTAGATCTAATAAAAAGGTTGTTATTAAGAAGCCTGCAACAAAAAATGTCGTTACGACAAAATGAGCCGTTACGGCCCCTGCTATAGGCTTGAATCATATTCATAGTGCAAGTAATATTATTTTGCATTATTACCGGTACTGATTATTAACATAATATTAACAATAGTAAAGAGGGTTACCCTTATACCAGTAATAATAATAAGTATATAAGTAGATCTAATAAAAAGGTTGTTATTAATAAGCCTGCAACAAATAATGTCGTTACGACAAAATGAGCCGTTACGGCCACTGCTATAGGCTTAAATCATAATGCAAGTAATATTTTCAGGTGGTGGCATTTTAGTAGATAAAAATGAATTTGAGTTTCTTCAAAACCAGGTTTCCTTGATGTCCAGTCTTCACTGATTTAATATAACAATCCATCTTAAAATCAAAGTCTTGATGGTAATTGATGTTCATCAGTCTGTTAGGTCGGCTAATAGACCTGCATCACATGATTTTGAAGATGCGGTATCAGTACATCATGAAGATAAAAAGTATACAATAACATTTTAAGTACCGGTAACTAATAATGGATCAGGTTTAGATATCATGGATCCTCAAAGTTTGTATGATGAATTCATGGAGTAAACACAAGAAACTAAGTTTGACATCCCCAAAATCTTTTAGGGTGATGATGTCTTTAATGATTCTGTGATAAACCAAAATACCAATAAAAAGGGTCGAGAAAAAGTAATTGACATTCTCCTATCCGCTATCAGTTAAATGCAAGAGATTGTTGCCACCTTTGTTGGACCAGGATATTTGTCATGCCCTGCCCTAAGCGGCTCAGGATTGTTATCTTCAGGAGGTTCTAAAACTGTTATGTCTGGGTTTATGCCCTCTGATACCTCTTTTAAATAAAAATATTGACCCTGAGGTAGTCCTCTATTGTAGATTCTATCATAACCTTAGGTAAGGCCCATTTAGAGTTGTCTCTGAAGCAGCAAAAGGTAGCACCCAATATATTTAACAACAAGGCCTGTTGTTGACACTTTGTCCGGCTGGATTGTTCCGGCAGGCCCTTCAAGGGCTGTCATCTCCAACTGGAGCAGGGCGAGAGGCAGATTACCTCGCCAAAACTACCTCTAGACATTGGAAAGTAATAAATATTTTATGCTGGACAAATTTATATATTACTGGGCCACTATTACCTCAGATCAGTGAATATCGTTAGTGGTTATAAGATTGACTTTAATTCAACTCATTTATTTTGAAGGCTATTCCAAATAGCCTGCCTTTTAATCATCAACAGATGTCTTTAATGGATGAGGAAGTCATTTAAATGATATTTAAGAAAGCCATCGATTCTGTATCATCAGCATACAGTTATATTATTATTATAATTATTATTATTAAAAAAAAAAAAAAAAAAAAAAAAAAAAAACTGTTTAAGCAGGAAACACTTGCAATTGCCCTAAGGCTATTAAACAGAACGATTTTTTAACATCCATTGATATTAAAGAGACTTAGTTTTCGATTCCTGTTTGTCTTGATCATCAAATATATCTACGTTTCAAATGGCGAGATCAAGTTTATGTGTTTTCATGTTTACCTTTTGGTCTTTCTTCAGTTACACATACATGTATCTTTACAAAAATTCTCAAACCTTTGTTTGCTTGGCTCAGGAAACAGAAAATTATATGTACATACTTTATAGATGATTCTTTATCTGCTATGTACAGGCTTTTTTAGTTTTGGCTTCATAATTAATACAGAAAGTATTTTAGGCTTCATAATTAATACAGAAAGTTATCAAGCTTGTTGACATATGAGAGAGTTTCTAAAATAAATAATAGCTGAGGAAATTTTGTTTAGTTCAAATTTATTAATTCATATGAGCCATCATTTATTGGTCAGTGTTCCTTTAGTAGAACTGCTATTATACTTGCATTATATTTATTCATTATTTAGACAAACAGAAAAATATATTTCTGTCACACTGTATCTTCAGCTATGATAATGATATCATTCATATTCAGGCAATGTTTTTGGAAATAGAATGGTGGATATCTAAGGTTTATATATAATGAGTTTTATATTCATCCACCTAGTATACATGTATAAATGGTTCATAACATCAGATGCTTTCCCATATGGATGGGGTGCCCACAGGGTAAATTCCAAAGCAATGGCCGTTGAAATCTTTAAGAGCAAGGAAACTATATAAATTATTTAGGAGTTTGAGTAATATTCAATGTTCTGTCTGTGGTCATATTTGTTTTTTATACACGTATCCAGGCTGATAATACTTTGGTATTACTTATATAAATAATCAGGGTGGTTATATTGGTAATCTTTTTGAATTGTCTAAAGAAGTTTGGCTGTGGTCTTTGAAAAAAGGAATCCTTTTGTCAGCCAAACATGTTGTTGGTAAATCTAATGTAATGATAGACATTTTGTCTAGAATATTTTCTAGTTCAACGGAATTAAGCTAAACGAGTATATCTTTACAAAGATTTGTAATCATTTTTTCATACATGATGTTGATCTGTTTGCTTCCAGACTAAATAGACATTTAGGAAAATGTTTCTTGATATCCAGACCTTTTTTTCTAGCATGCAATGCTTTTTCTATATATGTATCAATGGTTCTGGAAAAGGTATTTCAAAACAGATCAAGCAGCCATAATCATTCCAGGCTGGTCAACTCCTGTATGGTATCCAATTTTACTATCAATGCTCACAGCTGACCCAGTTCGGTTACCGGTTCGCAAAAACCTTTTTACGTTTAAGCCACAATGGTGCTTTACATTCTCTTAGAGGTAAAATCTATATCTAACAGGATGCAGGATACCTGGCAATCCTTCTATAATAGAGGAATATCAAAGCAATCTGCTAATATCATCCTTAATTCTTGGCGGCCATCTACTACGAACAGTATGCATTGGCCTAGCTGGAGAAGATGAAATTTTTGGTGTTGTGGACAACAAATTAATTCATTTCATCATCTGTAGTTTTATAAATTTCTTAGGAGATATGTCTAACAATTTCCTTATAGGGTAAAAAACATTTGATTCTCTGTAACTCCATAAATATCTGTTTACTTGGAATGCTTCAATATTAGTAAATTATTTGGGTACGCTGTATCCATTGCAAAATTTATCTTTGAGAATACTGACATATAAAACCAGTTGGTTTGTTGGCTTTAGCTACAGCTTAGAGATGTCAAATTTTAACAGACTTTTGCCTTAATGCTTTATATGATTCAGGCTCTGTTATAACCTTGAGAGTAAATAAGGTTTCGAAAATTTCTCAACCTTTAACACCGTTATTCAGGGTTAAAATTCCAAGTTTTTAAGATGTCAGGATCTGTCCTTGTTTTACTTCGAGACAGTTTATCCGTACAACAGCAGAATACCGTAAATCCAGTCATGGATTTGTTTTCCTTTTATACGAAGAAGGCTGTAGCTCCAGGAACTTCTGCTAGGTGTTTAAGTCAAATATTAAAGTTAGCTGGTATTGATACTTCTATTTTTAAAGCCCACTCAATTAGAGGGGCATCAACTTCTTCGACATTTAATGGTGGTTGTTCATATTCAGACATTTTGAAGGCTGCAAACAGGAAATATGGATATATATTTGCCAGGTTTTACCACCAGTATGTGCGAAATTTGTTTATTTTGTATGCTGGCTGCGGAATAAATAATAAATGAACTACTAATTTGTTTTAGTTGTTATTTCCTTTGTTGACAACCCTTTAAACTATGCAATATAAATCCGAGATGCCCGAAGGGCATATATGGAATATAATCCCCCTCCCATCCTAGCGCCCGAAGGGCGTGATGGATGAGAAGGATTATATGAATATATAGCCCGAGGGCTCGAGGATTTATCTTCCCTCCCTTGAGCCCTCCCTGTGCTATATTCGGCTGTCAACAAATCTTTAAAAAGACAATACTGAAAGTGTTGTGATCGTTTATATAGAGCGTGGTCACGTGTTTATACACGCCGATTCGGTGAGCTATTTTTTAGCCTTTAAAGTTTGAGCGATTGTGCATGGTTTGAAAGAACAATGAGAAATATGCAATATAAATCCTCGAGCCCTCGGGCTATATATTCATATAATCCTTCTCATCCATCACGCCCTTCGGGCGCTAGGATGAGAGGGGGATTATCTGCACTACATTAAATGTAAACATTTGTGAATGTGTTTGAATCTACAATTTTCTTCAGATTTTGATATAAAATCTGGTTACATCTATGAGATCCATCAGTCATTCGTCGATATATAGCCCTCGATTTACCCAAAATATGTCACAAATAGTTTGTGGACATGAAAGATCGTTCTTGTTCATATGATTTTATTGTATTAAGCTAAATATATAGGGCAAAAAATATCCAATTTAGTAGTCGAAGTCAATTCTGCCAACTTCTTTTTCTGCTATTTGATTACAGTCTGCTGTACGTTTCAGGTGTGAGGCTAGCCCAATTTTTAAAAAAAGATTTAAATCTATTGAATTGAGAATGGTACAAGTAGTTAGGAAATGTAATAAATATGGGAAAACTAATTTTTAAAAATAAACATCTCTGTAACTAATTAAAATAGCTTCAGCAGGTTTTCCTATATTTATTACATTTCCTAAGTTGTTGTACCCAGGCACAGATTCAGGGGGAGGGGCATGAGACTATGTAAATTCCCCCGTGAGACAAAGTCAGCTCAGACCCAGTCCCAAATTACATATTATTTGAAATTTTTTTGTGACTACGGTGCTAAAACTAGTAAAAGCTCAGTTACATAAATATATGTAGCTGTCTGGAATTTTTTCGCATCTACCCTGCTCGATTCCATTATCATTCTTCCACTCCTGATCTGTGGTCTTGCACTCTCTCATCACTATTATATTTACAGTTATAGTGAATCGCCCAGTTAGTAGTAACACTAGTGAGTGGGTCCTGGGGTGACAAACTGTACAAATTTTCTGTCAACTCTCACAAAACAGAAAGAATTTATTGTGCAGGCCTGGAGATTCTGTCCCATTTCTTATTCTCTCATTCACAAGAATTTGCTCCCATCAATAAACTCAAATGCCAGGAAATTTAGGCCCAGTCCCAAAAAATTAAAAGCTTAATTTAAATTATATATTATTATAGCATCATTCTTCCTCCACTCCTCCGTGGCCTTATACTATCTCATCACTATCATATTCAGGGTTATAGTAAACTGCCCAGTTAGTAGTACCACTAGTGAGTGGGTAGTGGGGCGACAAACTGTACAAATTTACGGTTATCTCACAATGACCTCAAAAGTCAGGATATTGACTCAAATTTTCTCAGGGAGAGAACACTGAATGTTGATTTGAATCTTGTTATAGCACTATGTTCAGGGTAAATAAATGAGGTAAATATTGCGTCTAGTTCAAAATTCTAATCTAAAGTTTAAGGACATTACTTAAATATAGACCCTGGTAACATCTCGGGATTCAATTCTTGAATTATTCTCTTTTTGTATTTATAGAGGTCCCTGGCTATGTTAAACTTACAAGAGACGAAGAAAATGTGATGGCTATGACAGATCTACCAAAGAATATCAGAGCTAGAGGAAGTCCGCCATTTGAGTCTTCTATAACATGCAAATCAGCTCGATTAGATGGTTCATTTCGCTATGCTATACAGGAAACAGCAAATGAAAACACTGTCCCCAAAGTTATAGATGACTCCCTAAGTGATGGAAGTATAAATGATCCTGTAGCTGTGTCAGATCTAAAAGATTTGATCGACAATTTGTCTTTGACACAGAATATGATCCAATCTCATCCAGGGCCACATTTTAAAAAGATGTATTTGGGTATGGAAAGGGAATTCAAAGCTCGACTTCAGTATTTAGAAAATAATCAAAATTACTCTTCTTATGATCTTGTTAATCTTAAATCTAAATTTGCTGATACTTTTTCATCTTTGCATGCCCATGAACATATATTTTAATCTTTAAAAGAAAAAATTTCAAACATCTAAAATCATTTATTTTCAAACTGCTGCCCTGCATGTCAATGACCGCCCTAGACATTCGGCAATTTGCTAATGCCGACAATTTTTTTTATTGGCGAATAAAGTGATGATACTAGCGAAAATTTTGGCGAATGAATTTTAGAGAGTGTTATTTCGTAAATCTGCTAATATTATTAAACTTGAAATCGTCTTGTTCAAGGCTTCTTTCGATTGCCTCAATGGAGTGTCTATTTTTGTCCCCCGCCTTTCGAAGAAAGCAGGGGACTATTAAAATGGGTTCGTCTGTCTGTCCGTCACACTTTTTGGACACAATAACTCTCTTTCTAATTGAGCTAGAATGTTCAAACTTGGAGTAGGTGTTTATTAGGTCAATACCTTGATGGAGTTCAAAGATGAGCATTTTCCGCTTAGGGTAAGCAGAGTTAAGCAATTTGATTGGTTGATGCTTTGGGACACGATAACTTAGTCCTAATTAAGTGAGAGGGATGAAACTTGGTGTATAGTTTCATTACATCAATACCTTGACTAAGTTCGATAATGAGCGTTTTCTGCTCAGGGTAAGCAGAGCGTTAAGCAATATGATTGGCCAACATTTTGGAACACAAAAACTCTCCTTCTAATTGAGCTAGTATGTTCAAACTTGGTGTAGGCATTCATTAGGTGAATACCTTGATGTAGTTCGATTATGAATATTGTCTGCTACTGGTAGGCAGAGATAATCAATCTGATTGGTTGATGCAGGGGTGTGCTGGCCCCAAAGGGGCCCGGGAGGACGGGCCTAACCTGTCGGTCGTCAAAGTCAAACCGCGCGCCGAAGGCGACCCGCTGGTAGGGGGGTCTTGGGGGGTTCTCCCTCCAGAAAATTTTTGAAATTTGACAACAGGAAACGCATTTTGCAAGCACTTCTGGGAGAAATCTAGGTATCATATATTCCAAATTTATGCTGCTATTTTGACTATAAGACATACTACTGTACTACACAAGACACTCATGACAGGTCTGCTTAAGATAATGCTAATACAATGTATTTCTATCCAAATAATAAATTGCATCTTATACATATCGAGGCATGAATACATGTATCAAAGACCATTTCACCTTAAGGTGACAGACATTTGCACGTCAGCATAATATATTTACTCTCAATTTTTTGAGGGGATTCCGCGTGAAAATTAGAGCTTATACGGGTGGACTTATTGTTTAATGGGGGCCTGGGAGGACACCGTCCTCCTAAACTCCCTGCCAGCATGCCCCTGGGTTGATGCTTTAGGGGCACGATAACTTTGGTTATAATGAAGTGAGAACCTTGAAACTCTGAATATAGATCCATTATATCATTACCTTGACTAAGTTCAATTGTGCAAATTTTCTGCCTGGGCTAAGGAGCGATAAGCAATTTGATTGGTCAAGACTTTGGAACATAAAAACTCTGCTTTTTATTGAGGTAGAAGGTTTAAACCTGATGTAGATGTTCATTAGGTGAATGTCTTGACTGATTTCAATGATTAACATTTCAAGCTAAAGCTAAGGCCTAAGCAGAGCTAATCAATTTCATTGGTCGATGCTTTGGGACAAGATAATCTTGATTCTATCTGATAGAGAGTGATGAGACTTAAGTGTGTAGTTTGATTGCTCGAAACTTTTGAAAAAAATAAATGTGCGATTAATTAATGTGTGTCGTCTATTTATTTTGGGATCAGCCTCACTGTTGGCTTGTTAGTACATTAATTACTCTAGTTAAGTCTCAATCTTACAAGTCTCAAATCAGTCAATGTTACGCATTAAAACGACCGAAAGATCTAGTCTCGAAATTATAAAACTATCAGTTACGACGTCCCTTTTGTCTGGCACTGGGTTTGGCATTTGCTTCACTACAAATTTTCTTTACTCACACAGCAAATAAATAAAACGTACAATAATGACAACTCATACTAGTAAACCCAAAATTAAAAGGATATATTCTTTTTTCCTTCCTACAATTACTGTTAGTCCAGAATCTACTTCTGAAAGTGAGAGTGTCATCTCTGACGCAAGTCATTCGTTGGCTTCATCAACATGTGGACAAAAATTAGACCTAGACCGAGCTAACCCTCAATGACCTCATGTTTATAAAAATGGATGGATCGGAAAGCATAAATTTTGGATTTGTCAGAGCATTTGATCAGTGGTGTCTTAAAAAGAATCATCGTGTCTTTTCTGTTAGGATGAATTAATCATGTGGCTGTGTGAAGTAATCTATCCTATAAACATTTTTTTGTTATCTGCATTCATATTCTCCATAATGTGAACTTTTGGACAGTCAAGGAGATAAACATTTATTTTCATTTTTAATTAACAAACATGAATAAAAATGATGTAAAATATTTGGCTAAAACTTTCTGAATTAGCTAATAAAATTTTAATTTGGCTAAAGGTTTTAAGAGTCTAGGGCGGTCACTGCATGTTAAAGAACCCTTGACAGTTGGATATAAAAATAAAAGTAGATCGTATTGCTGTCCGGTTGAAATTACTCTAATAGCATTAGCCTAATTAGAGCAGAAAAGTAGGAATAAAAATCATTAAACCCCATTTTATTTAATTAAAATGCATTATCTGTTATTGACAGCATTTTGGTGCATTATTTTAAAATGTTTTATACCAATGATATTTTAGCCGAGATGAGTTCTAGCATTTTATTAGTACTGTATCATATATCAGAATTGCTTAAAGTAATTTTGTCGAAAAAATCTATAAATTTATTTTGATGCTGATTTTTTGTTTTTGTATAAAATTGCTTTTTTATGTTTATGAATTTATATGGGTTGGGTAATTAGTAAGGCTTATAACTTAACACAATTTCTTACAACCCTTAAAAATTGGCATGCATGTCTCAAAATAACTAACAATTCGATAAACTGGACTATATATTGTAACAAGATTGAATCAAAATCAAAATTGTGAAAGTTACTATTGTTTAACCGTTGAATTCGCTTTTATTTTATTACGTTCAACTTATGCAACCTGAAAATTGTCAAGTGAACCAGATTTTTTTAAATGCACAGTGTTCCACGACCTCATGTCCTGACGTTACCCTCCCCCCCTTTTCCCAAAACGTGATTGTGATATATACTGCAGTTCTTAACATAACATTTATAATTAGCTGCAGGTTAATTACATAGTTAGGAGTTGTTAATTATTGTATATATATGATTAAATCAGAATATGTCAATATGTCTACAATCTGATTAAAACACAGATCCTATTTTGTTTCGTTTTTATAGTTCAAAATTTCGTTTTACTTGTCTTTACTACACTAGGATCTGGAAGAGTTGTTATCATTGACGTGTTCTGAATGGTGTAAGGAATTAGACAATGAAGCGGTCTGTTATGGCGAGCTTTAGGCGTGTTTTGCATGGAACTGTGGGTAATCCACTAGTAACATCAATGCTGATTGGTTAATTAAATGTCTTACATCATAGGGTCAAAAGCCGCTCGTATGACCTCTGACGCGACCTATCGCTACAACCGGTCAGCCATCGAAAGTATAAAAAAAATGAAACGAAATATAGATCTGTATTTTAATCAGATTGACATGTCTATGTTTTGTGCTACTATACTCTTCAAAAAAAAGTAGGGGATATTCAGAAACAATACAAAACTGCGGAATGCACATCTGTTTTTATTAGAGGTAACCCGTGTATGTTAATAACGGGCCAATTGCCTACACATGAACATAAACAGTTCATATGGGCGGCTTATCTGATGGCTCCAATTCACTCACAAAGAGATACACTGTCAAAAGTGAAAATGACGTTTTTGATTTTTGTCTTAATGAGTAATTGCTCCACCAATCCTCCGACATTCAGCAATTCGTCGTGGCATGCTCCTAATCAACCGTCCAATCACGATTTGGGGCAATCTGACCCACTCTTCTTGCATTGCCACAGCCAATTCATGCAGTGTTGTTGGTTGACGTTGAGGAACACGTCTCCCGATCAAATTAAACGTAAGACACTAAAGCAAAGATATGCTAAACAGTAAATCTTATGCAAGAACCAATAGGAAAGCAAACATGGATAGGATAAACCAGCAAGCGGCAGTTTTCATCAACCCTTCCTTGAAGTATCAAATTTGACAATGAACCCATCCCACGTGCAGATCGGTGGTTCTGTTGGGGCGATAAGTACTTCATCTGTGAACATACTCTCAAAGCATGTCAGGTGTCCATGACTATTTATCATATCACAACCTGCATAGGTATTTGCATTTCAATATCCCCTACTTTTTTTTTTTGAAGAGTATAGCATGGTGGCTCATGTGTTTATAACCCATTCTTGCCCAGACATGGAGCTAGGTTGGCTTAGTGGTTAGTGTGTTGGCTCACTTACAAGATAGTCCCTGGTTCGATGACAGAGAAAGTTCCTTGTCAGTGATGCAGAACACCTGGCCTGGCAAGTAAAAACAAGATCCTGATTAATATACAGATCTATATTATGTTTCGTTTGTATACTTTCAATGGCCTCTACTACATGAAGATCTGACTAGTTGTAATGGGAGGTCACGTCCGGGGTCATACGAGCGGCTTTTGACCCTATGACATCAGACATTTGATTAACCAAACTTGCCGCAACAAACAGTTTCATTGACTTATCCCTCACATCAACCAGAACGCAGGTTATATAACAACTCTTCCAGATCCTAGTGTAGTGAAGACAAGTAAAACAAAATTTTGAACTATAAAAAACGAAACCAAATAAGATCTGTGTTTTAATCAGATTGGTGTACTTGTTGGAATTCGATGAGGAGTTACACATTAATAAACTGCTGTCAGTGCAAAATTTTAGATCAGTTAAATTGGAACTCTATCAGAATTCCCTTTAAGATTTTCACTTTTATTATTGACCTATCAATTTACCGATTAAACGGACAGCCAATTTGATCAGAAAAGAGGACACACACAATGGAAATGAAATGAAATGGGGGTTTAATGGCCATACTGTTCTGCTCCGAACTGGGCTAATGAAGACGGCATACGCCATACAGTGTGCTATGAGGGGAAATTTTGCCCAGGCAGCGACACTACAGCCTACTCTTATATCAAATTCCAACTGTCAATGTGTACTCGGGACCTCAGTTTTCCGTCCCATCCGAACAACTAGACAGCTGTACTTGTCAGGTCCTCCATTCTGTGCCACTGACAAGGGGAAACCACGCAGGAAAATCCTGATGAACTTTCTCGGCCAATGCAGGGATTGAACACATGACCTTCAGGCTATGGATGTTTCTTGGAATGGCCATCGGATGGCTGCCTTTCCTTATATTATTATTTCATTTCTCGAAAAGCGAAGTTGAATCATTCTACTAACTGTATAGATACCTTTATTATGAAAAACCACGTTTGAAAATAAACAACACCCAACGCCAATTTAATGTCCATAAAAAATTTGATACCGAAAGAATAAAATTACCCGATGCCCCCGCCCCCCTTTCATCTGGCCCTTTGACTTCTAGGGTTATGACCATTTTACACTTTGTAAAATCAATCTTGTGAACGCTCAATCAACAAATTTATTAATACTATAATTTTATTGTCCTTAATTACACCATAGAATATTGTTGATATATTATGGGAGATTATATCACCGAATAGTGATACTAATTTTTAGTTCTTTTTCAAATTTTATTTCAAGAATACATAATTTAATTCTTAACTCTTTATTCACGTACATAGGCAATAAAGCTCACATTAAGGTTATTAGTCTGTCTGACTTTACTTTTAATGTTAATATTGTTGTAGGGGGTCAAATATGAAGTAAATAACCACACCAAGGGTTCAGTAAAACAGCAATTTATTACCTTATAATAAAACCCCTGAAATTATACAATTACAGTATAAATAACATAATCCAACATATAAAATCAATTCATTCATAATCATATTCATTAAAATAATATATTACATATTAACACTAAAATCTCTATTCTAACTACTACTTTTATATATACTTAGTCTATATAAATACTTTAAAGGGAAACTACCTCCTGTTAACCCGTATGAAATATACAGGCATAATCTAAATAATCTTACTAATAATAATAATGTTCTTACCCATGAAGGGGTTTTTAATAAAGTAACCAGAGTCTGGAACAAGGTGAAGTACCTTATAGCTCTGTCTGTAATAAAATATGGGGTATTTGATATTAATTATATTATTAAAGCGAAATGCTTTAAATAGTGTTACTATTATAAACTGTATGCCTTGTATTTGCAGAATGTAATTAACAAAAACCAGATTAACTTTAACTTATTTGACAATTTTACTTAAAACCTACATGTCCGACAACTTTAACAAAGACAAATAAAATATATATAAACTTATAAAACTGATAAAACAAATAGCCACACATACCTTTAAACTGTAAACAATAAATCTGTAGATAATAATTCTTCCAATACCAAATACACACAATTGATACGAATAAATGAAACTATTATTATAACTATTGAAACTTTAAATATAAAATCACTACCAAGGTTGAATGAAATATTCAACCTCACACTACAAGATTCTATAAGTAAGTGACCAAGGAGATAGGAAATACAAATCCAAGAAACCTTTGGGTCAAAGGTGAAAATTGAATCCCAGTGACCAGATGATGAACTCGAACTCACTGGTTAGAAGAGTGTACAGAACAGGATAGTTTAAAGATGCATTGATGTGTGACATATTACTTAAAATTACATTAGTATTGTGATCATATTAAAATACCCATAAACTAAATAAAATCACTCTACCACAATATTTTGATTTAAAGTCTATAAAGTAATTGCCTAAAAGCAAGAATGGTCTTGACTGTACTGTTATAATCTTTGGGGTGCCAATAGGATTATTAGTAGAAAGCTCGAAATAAAGATTTATACATTTAACAATGCAGTCAGATCTGTGCCAATCAAGTGTCAACGCTTTTAATTTACTTAGGGCTTAAAGCTTATTAACTAATTCAATATTTTATTGTAAAACTTTTACCCAATGAAAGTTATATATTAGTTTAACTTCTTTTCATTTGATTTGTTACAATATATTTTTATCCCTAATTTTATCTTGAATCTGATTTGTTGAAATGATTGGCCTTTTGTCTGTATGTAAATTAGTTTGTTTAAAAGACCCCTACACAGACAGAAGAGACATGAAAATATACAGGGAGATCAGATGAGATAGGAGATAAGGTTAAGACGTTTAGTAACCCTTTGATATGATCTTGTAAATAATGTATTTTTAAACTGTATATAAAGTAATATTGAAACAGATTTGGGATTTGACTTATTAATGTACAGTGACCACCTTCACCATAATACTTCTCCACAAATGAGCTATATACACCCCAAATCTTAGCTCATCCATATGTATGAAATATTACATATGTATCACCTGGATATTCAAACCAAGAATAGCCCCAAAACGTGGGTGATAATTAGATAAAGAGCTGGCAGTTCTCACTATAATAGTTAAAAGCTAGATAATGTAAAGGGAATTTGCTGTAAATTTCAAATTGATCCACTCTGATCTGAGAATTTAGCGATTGAATTTCCGGCCTAGAATCGATAATCATTACAAAAGTTGGTATGATAAAAAAAAACATAGTCTCGGTTATCCATTCCATGATTTAATCATGAATGAAAGTTGAGCAGCAAATAGGATCATAATCCAGTAAATATCGCAGGCAAGCGATGACCTCGAGAGTTGATTATATGGTCTGGATAAGTTAATTAATGTCTAATTAATAATTTAGATAACATTTCAGGCCTAAAGAATAGATAAAGATTTTTATCCTGTTTTAGGGTGAATTATCGAAGACAGGATTTTTGTCATGGATTTATTTAGACGATATGATACAAGGATCTATAGGACCCTTGAATTACTTGGCTCGAAGGATATAAGCCATGCTGGTAAATAAAATGGACATGTCTCAAACACATCAGCAGTGCATACTCACTAGGCCACTACAATCACTTAGTTAATTAAAGATACATTATGGGAGATTTTTTATAAGGAGTTAGCCATTCTTGCTATAACAGTTCAAAAATAGATGATGAAAGAAGAATATATTGAAAATTTCAGTCAAATTACTTTATTCTGAACATAGTTATCACCAGTGTAATTTTTGACTAGAAATGGGATTGAATTCCATCTTCACCGATTCTTAGTATGGCTGATCGTTTGATTGACAGGCGTTCACTCCACCTACATAATCTCTGCTGTCTTTTGTCTGCTATCATCATATCCGAATTTGTGTTTTACCTTTTTGGATTTTTATAACAATTGGACAAAATGAGTGAGAGGGTAAATTTTCATTCTTACTTGTATTTTGGGCATGCATTAAATCAAATGAATATAGGACATAATATTATAATACAATTATGATAAATCTATAGGTATACACCAGTGGCGTCGTGCCTATTGGGGAAATAAAAATATTTTTATTGATATTATTAAGACAAAAGACCTGTCCGTCTGTATTAGTCATCACACGGTCTCCAGGAATTGTATAATTTGTCATGTGTTTAGTTTATTGCACTTTAAATAGTTTAGATGTCATTTGTTATGGCATCGCTCAACAGCGGCCTCGCTTCGTACACTCTATCATTTAGCCTCAATCCGGGAATATGACGTCAACGTAACGGTTAATCTCCGCTCACGACGCCATTTAAAATTAAATCAGTGAACGAAATCCTGTTTAAATCCAAGCTGAATCCAAGGCATCCATGGGTCTACAGAGTTGATTTTGTGCTTGTTGTGTAAATAAAGATCTAATTTATAATTTCTATGACATCTGAAGCCAAATAAAGACTTGCAATAATCAGATTTAGCTCTTGCATAATGTATGTTTAACTCACAATATTAACGCTTGGGTTATAAACATGTATTTCAAGTTTCATCGAAATCGGATCAAAATTGTGACCTCTAGCTCTAGAGGGTCCCCAACCTTGATTTACGAGATATTTACACTATTTGCGTACGAGGGGCGGCCATTTTGTCCAGCAGTTTTGGCCCGACTTTCACGAAATTCGAACTCAACAAACATGTACGAAATTGAAAGGAACCAAGATATTTGGGTTATAAACATGCATTTCATGTTTCATCAAAATCAGATGAAAATTGTGACCTCCAGAGGGTCCACAACCATGATACATAATATTTTGACAATTTTTGCCAACGAGGGGTGGCCATTTTGTCCGTCAGTTTCGGTCCGATTTTTACGAAATTCGAACTCAGCCATCCTTAGGGTAGAGTGTTCACAAACAACTGTGGACGGACGGACAAGGGGCGACGACAATATATGTCCACATGAAAATGTGAGCGTATAAAAATGGTTCCTATTTAGTGTAAATGTGTTCATAAAATATACTCTTCAAAAAAGTAGGGGATATTGAAATGCAAATACCTATGCAGGTTGTGAGATGATAAATAGTCGTAGAGACTTGACATGCTTTGAGAGTATGTTCACAGATGAAGAACTTATTGCCCCAACAGAACCACTGAGCTGCACATGCGACACGCAATAGCGCCATACACGAGGGAGGGGTGCATTGTCAAATTTGACACTTCAAGGAAGGGTTGATGAAAACTGCCGCATGCTGGTTTATCCTATCCATGTTTGCTTTCCTATCGGTTCTTGCATAAGATTTACTGTTTAGCAATGAGACGTCTTCAACATGATGAACATCTGCGTGCTATTGGTATGCTTCAACTGGGTTCTACACAGCGAGCAGTAGCCAACATGCTTAATGTGTCACAGTCTGTGATCAGCAGACTGTGGAACCAGTACCAACAAACACACAATGTTGATGATAGGCCTCGTTCAGGTTGTCCTAGAGCCACTACACAAGCCCAGGATCGATACATTCGTACACATGTCCTGCGAAATCTAGGACAAACGGCCAATCAACTTTCTGTAAACTTGTACCAAGTTACAGGAATTCGAGTTATACCCCAAACGATTAGAAATCGGCTACATGCAGCCCATTTGCATGCACGACGACCGTGTGTTGTGCCTCCATTAACTCGCCAGCACATTGCAAACAGGCGTCAAAGGTGTAGGCAGCGTAGAAATTGGGGTAATTGTCGATGGGCGCCTGTAATGTTCTCAGATGAGTCCAGATTTACTCTGGATTTCACCGATAGGCATGCTCGCGTTTGGAGAACGGACTTACATATTGTTCAAGGAAGGGTCACTGGTGTGTACTACCGTGACCACATCCTGGCACCGATACTTCTGCCCTTTGCTCAACGTGCAGGTCGACGTTTCATTTTTCAAGATGATAATGCCCGTGCCCACTGTGCTCGTGTCGTGAATGACTACCTGCAGCGTCACCATATTGTCCATATGCCTTGGCCAGCCATGAGTCCCGACCTTTCCCCTACAGAGCATGTCTGGGACATGATTGGGAGACGTGTTTGTCGACGTCAACGTCCACCAACAACACTGCAAGAACTAGCCGTGGCACTGCAAGAGGAGTGGGTCAGATTGTCCCAAACCGTGATTGGACGGTTGATTAGGAGCATATCACGACGAATTGCTGAATGTCTGGGGATTGGTGGAGCAATTACTCATTAGTAAGACAACAAGCCAACAGTTAAGCTGGGGTCCCTCGCCAAAATCCCAAAATAAATAGATGACACATATTAATTTATCGCAAATTTATTTTGTTCAAAAGTATCAAGCAATCAAACAGATTATCATCTATACACTTAGTTTCATCACTCTCTATCAGATAGAATCAAAGGTATCTTGTCCTAAAGCATCGACAAATGAAATTGCTTAGCTCTGCTTAGCTTTAGCTCGAAATGTTAATCATTGAACTCAGTCAAGACATTCGCCTACATCAAGTTTAAACATTCTCCCTCATTTAAAAGCAGAGTTGTTATGTTCCAAAGTCTTGACCAATCAAATTGCTTATCGCTCCTTAGCCTAAGCAGAAAATTCTCATCATCGAACTTAGTCAAGGTAATGATATAATGAATCTATGACAACGAATTATGGTCAGGCAAGACGGTGGATGGGTTGTTTTTTTCGTGCTTGTATGATGCAAATAAAGTCGAAGTTTATCATGGCTTTTGTGTTGATGTTGCTGATTCTGATTTGTGGGAATGTTGAGATGAATCCCGGTCCATCTAGGAGAACTCAAAAATCCATAATCCACGAAGATACAGGTGCAAATGAAGATAGCTCCGAAACAACCATGATGGAAATCTTGAAGCGAGTAGAGCGGGAATTAGGAGAAGTGAAATCAAATGTTGTTCAGCTCTCAAGTCTACAGGGCGTTGTGACCTCTTTAGCCCAAACCGTGTCTAGTTTACATACAGATATTCAGTCCTTAAACTCATCAAATCAAACCCGTGACGAAGAAAATAGTAGTCTCAAAGAAACTGTTGAAAATCTTGAAAGAAAACTTGAATCTATTGAAAATGAAGCGAGACAGAAAAATTTGGTGATAAACGGTCTGAAAGCCAGGAATAGTGAAGAATGTGAAAGAGTTGTGGAAGCATTTATTTATGAGAAACTGAATATAAGTGAACAAGTTGATATTGAGAAAGCCTATCTTGTGAATAAAAATAAAACCATAATTGTGAAGCTGTGGAATTTAAGAGATAAACATCGTATTATACAAGCTGCCAAAAATATGCGTAGTGAAGAATTTCATGTATCCTGCGATTATTCTTTCAAGGTAAGACAGATCAGAAAAAAATTAATTCCTCATATGTTACGAGCAAGAGAGAGTGGAAAGAAAGCTAGTCTGAAGTTTCATAGATTGATTATCGACGGTGAGCATTTTACACCCGATGACCTAGATAGCGAGTGAGACAACGATGGGAAAGTTTCACAACACGAAGTTGTTTTTACAGTAGAATCGTTGGGTGAAATAACACGTGACTTTGTTTACAATGACAGACTGAAATTTTGTGTATGGAATGTGAATGGTCTCAAGTAAAAGTTGCAGGATGCTGACTTTGTTTCTTATCTAAATGGCTTTGATGCCATATGCTTATTAGAAATTTGGTGTGACAGTAAAGTTGACATTAATAGATTTTTTCCGGATTTCAATGGATTTTTCTGCATTCGTGGTAATGGAAAACAGCGGGGAGATATTGTTGTTCTATGTAGACAGAACATCTTACAAGGTGTTCAGCGTCTTAAAGATGATTTCAGTGAACTCGTTGCTTTAAAATTTGATCATCATACATTTGGATGGGACAATGATATTATTTTGGTAATTTCCTATGTGGCTCCAGAGAACTCAAGAGTGCA